AACAGGGACCCAGTAAAGTGAGGAAAAAGAGAAACATTGCAAAATGTTGCCTTTAATATTATATTTTTCTTGTTCATCAAGCAAAATAAATTAAAGCTTTAATTTTTTAAAAATTAAATGAGGATCATATATTGAAAAAGAGCTATAAGAGTAAAAACTTAATATTGATTTTATTGAGTGAGAATTTTAAGAAAATATCATTACAGAGAAATTAGACAGTAGCCTGATTCAAGAGAATCATGGTAAGATTACATAATAGCCTTTATTATGGATTTCAAAAATCCTTTTGAGTCCAATGAAGCTGGGTTAGCAAAAACTGCACAAAAAATATCATTTTAATTAGTGCTAATGTGATCTCGTCATGGTCCAGCTGTTTCACACAGGATGCAAATGCGTGTTACTTTATTAGTAATGCATCTTAAGAAAAAAATGTCACTTCTGATTTCAAACATTTGTCATTAAAATACATTTTAATACAATAGGAGAATAACATGATTGATTTAGCCAAATGAGGCATCACTGAAATCCAGGCAAAAAAGACTTAAAAGCCTTCTTAATTGAGGAGGAAATTTTGTCCCTCTGTCTGGTCTTCCTTTCTAGAAACATTAATAACAAAACAAGAGTTAGATTTCTACTGAGAATTTGGAGGACATTTGGTATAAGAGGAAGTTAATGTCTCAATAATTCACAAATTGATATTTTTTCCTTCATAGAACTCAAAGTCCACTCCTCCCAAATTGAAAATTCTAGGTGATTTTTTTAACAAATGCTGTGCTATTTCAGCTTGTGATAATGAATTTAAATTTATTCATCAGCAAACACTTCCATGTCTCTCTCAATCAAGAATCCACAACTCATTCTTTGGCATTCAGCTTTCATTATTTGAGCCAGCATTAAACTCTTCACTGACATATGAAATCCTGCACCCACAAGAAGGGAACTGCATTCTGATTCCAAAACTTAGGAATATGGCTCAAATACTTCCCTGAAATTCTTACTTGTTTTTAGCAAGATTGAGCTTTCTCACATGGGACAATAATCTTAAGTACAGTACATTTATTTGTAACACCACTTCTGCGCTTTTACCACAAACCTATAAAACAGCTCACCATGAGTAGTCTTGTGCCAAACTAATATATTTATCCACTCTATTTATTTGATATCATGCTAATATATTTTAGCTTGCTATTGATAGGAATATCCACATACAATTTACTCCCCTCAGCTAGATATTCATTGAGGAGGAATTTAGCAAATAAAAGGCTGGTAGGAAGTTGTGTTCAACATAAATGCCACCCTCCATGATCTTTTACTGAATTATAGCTATCTTTTGAAAGTGATGATAATGAGAGAAAGACAGAAATTCACTATTGTCTGTTTCCAGCACTGTTTCTCATTTTTCCAATCGTTGCCTCAGTGTGTAGTCAACAAACAAACAACAACAACAACAGCAACAACAAAAACCCAGCTCAACTTGCTTGATGTCTCCAGGATACTTATTTTTTTCTGTTTCGAGACTTTACTGTGTGATGTAGAATAGCTCCATGTTGTTGTATTTTGAACTCTTCTTGCCAAGTTTGCTTTTTTTTTTTTTTTTTTTTTTTGGTTTTTTCGAGACAGGGTTTCTCCATGTAGTTTTGGTGCATGTCCTGGATCTCGCTCTGTAGGCCAAGTTTGCACTTGTGGTGGTATGTGTTCCCCAAAATATTGTGCACCCTAATAAACTTATCTGGGGTCAGAGACAGAACAGCCACAATATTAAACATGAGGATAGGCAGTGGTAGCACACGCCTTTAATCCTAGCATTCCAGAGGCAGAAATCCATCTGTTCAAGGATACAGCCAAGCATGGTGACTCATGCCTTTAATCCCAGAAAGCAAGCCTTTAATCCCAGGGAGTGATGGTAGAAAGCAGAAAGGTATATAAGGCGTGAAGACCAGGAACTAGCGGCATCTGGCCTGGTTAAGCATTTGGCTGGTTAAGCTTTCAGGCTTTGGAGCAGCAGTTCAGCTGAGAGCCATTCTGGATGAGGACTCAGAGGCCTCCAGTCTTAGGAAACAAGACCAGCTGAGGATCCGGCGAGGTGAGGTGGCTGTGGCTTGTTCTGTCTCTCTGATCTACCAGTGTTCACCCCAATAACTGGCCTCGGGTTTGATTTTATTAATAAGAACTTTTAAGATTCATGCTACATGCACTTTTTAAAGGCTGAGAAACCTAACAAGAAACAACTTTGGATTTTATAAAGTAGACTTTTCTTAGATTTCTGCCTTTATTTTCTTGGCATATAAGAGACTTCATTGACAAAAAGAATTTATAGTAAACTTGGTTAGGCTAGTAGGTAACCAAATGATCATTTTAAAATAAAAGTGAACAAATGCTCAAAATATCTACACATAATGTCACAATATAGTAAGTAATCCTAGCAGATGGAGAATGTAAGTATGTGAAGTCATGGAATGACTAGGCCTTGTTCCCCCATGTTCTTAGGCTATACTTATTCTCAAATTGTATAACTAATATGTATTTTACTAATTATGAGTGAGTTAAATAATCAATGCTAGTGTACTCTTATTTTTACTTTGAGTTTTTGGTAACACTGAACATTTTCTTGGTGTTTAGTTTCCGTTGTTGAAAATAAATGTATCTTCTGCCTGCTTACTGGTATTACCATACTGTACCTACTAGGAGAAAATCCATCAGAATCAAAGACCAACACTAGCTATGGGATTCTTTTTCTATTTTCTCCATCACTTAGAGGGATGTTGATTAAAATATGTTCAGGCCCAAGTCTGGGTTACTGTCATACAAAAGATGAAAGTCCTATAAAGCTAAAATGACATTCAGAACCTACATGACAATGGACAGAGTCAAACTGGCTCTAGGTGTCAGTAAAATGGATGACAGCTATGTGGGCCACCACTTAGTGCATGGTAGTTTTCAAGAACAACATGGCATGTTGAAAGATAATCATAAAATTTGGAATGTACAGCTTTATTTTATTGATTGTCTGTTATGTGCATGGCTAGCTATCATCAGGGTTCCAGTGAAATTGAAGATAGAGTTTCTGCCTCAGAAGAGCATACAATTTCATTAGAAGGATACATTAAAGGATAAAGTGTAGGGTAAAAAAGTGCCATATAATGACTGAGCAGCACAAACATTGTGAGCTCACTGTGAGCAAAACTATCTAACCAGATTTCAGATAGAAGAGAGAGCTGGATTGAAATGTTGACTTCTGGGATGAAATTGTTATATGACCCTGTTTTGGGGAAACAAGAACAAATGTCTACTCACCCAAGAGGAAGAATCAGCCACAGACCCAAGCATGGATACCACCAGCCACCAACATCGAATGGGCTTTATTGGTGTTACTTATAGGACCAGAAATGACTCAAAGACAGCTGCATCACCAAAGCTCACTCCGTTAGGGGTAACAGCTAATGGAAGCTGAGAACCTGGAACTTGCAGCCAACTCAGAAGTTTGGAGAGTGTCTCCTTCAGGCCACTTAGTGGGTCTCTGATGCTTTTTCTGGGCAGCTGGCTTAGGACTCTCCTAGGTGGCTCTATTTGTCTGAGAGTCTCTTTCAGCAGTCTTTGTCATTACAGCTTATATATATTTTGGAGAGGGAGAGTGTCTAATGAATCTGGTCAGTTTCAGACACTTCCTGAAGCTAATGGCTTGGTTATTTACAAAGTTTTGAGAGGCTTCCCTGCAGGATAGAACATGTCCTTTTAGAACATCCTGTGTTTTGAGAAGCTTCTCTCCGAGAAGTAATGTTTCGTCTTGGAGAAAATGATGAAAATGACCATGCAGCAGGACTGAATGAAGACAGTGAAATGAATGTGGGGATACGATAGAAATATTTTGTGGAATTTCTTAGTGTTAAATGAAAATACTTCAGTCACTTAAATGATAACATAATTATATGTTTTACTGGGCACATTCTCTCAGAATACTGTTTCTGTAATCGTATTGAATAGCTGCAAGTGGGCCTGAAGCTAATATCCTAGTTTCATGCAATTAAAATCTAAATTGTTTTGACTCTTTTAGTGATTGACAACTAGTGAGAAAGACAGAGACAGAGAGCATACAGTGTTCACAGTGCTTTTCTGAGCCAGGCTGAATGAAAGGACAAGTCTTTTGTCTTACAGGCTTTCTGAATCTGAGTTTCTATGAATATATCTTAGAGAACCTGCCTGTTTAATTTCCTCAGTCGTGTTAATATACAGTTAAATTTTAGTTCCACTGTAAAAGTTTTCACAGTTACAAGCTGAGATTAGTCAGCTAACAGGTAACCAAATATTGCACAGTATCAGATTAGAATCCATGAAATTCCAGCTAACATACACAGTCTTATTAGAAACCAGGTATAGTACTGTGTTATTTCAAATTTGTTATCCTTTGAGTTCCCATAATACTGTTATAGAAATAGATGTCTGTTTTTTTATTATGTAGGTGGTGGGTAAGTCAACACAAAGAGGTTTATGACTATGCAATTTCTAGGGAATTAAATGACATATTTGAGGTTTAACTATTTTATTCTAGCTACCTCTTGTATACTCCATAGTTGTTTTTCTCTACTGCCCAGGGAGATCTTTGTACAGTTTCCTTATTGAACAGCTGTGTGGCTGAAAGGAATAAAATTCATTTTCCAATAACATAAGGCAGGAAAAGTCCACTACTGCTAACACTGAGGAATTCACTCAAATCCCATCTTTGGAATTGTTTCTGCTTAAGTAAGGTTTAGTGAGTGTGTGCTAAAAAATCCATTTAGAAGAAGTTAATACCATGTTAAAGATCTGAAACTGAAATTACAGTATAAAGGTCACGGTGAAGTATGTAGTGATCAGTGATATCAACATTTTATCCATTCAGGCTTTTCAATGAAACATTAACTTACAATAGTCATCATGGATAGGAACAGTAACTCTGGAGTCGAGTTACTTAGGTATAAATCCAAAGTCATCTTCTTCTTCTTCTTCTTCTTCTTCTTCTTCTTCTTCTTCTTCTTCTTCTTCTTCTTCTTCTTCTTCTTCCTCTTCCTCTTCCTCTTCCTTTCTTCTTCCTCTTCTTCTGTGCTGGTAATTGAACTCAGGGCCTTAGATATGCCAGGCAAACACTCTGCTATTGAGCTATAGGAGCAATATTCCCAGCTCCAAATCTGACTTTTGTGACCAAGAGATGTGTGACATTCAACGAGCTTCTTATATTTCCTGGGTCTTATTTTTTCCCCATCTGTAAAGTGGAATAAGAGCAGGCTCATCCTTGTTGGATTGTTGTAACTGTTAAGCAGGATGGTTCATGGAGAGCTTCTGGAACAACACTTGGTACTCATTAGTGTGCTTCAAATATGTCAGTTTGTTAAGTGAAAATCCTGTTTAGTGATGGACATTCTAGTTCTTAAAGATGTTGAATATAAGGGAGCTCCTCATTTCTCTGCCTTCAAGGTCCTTTGTCTTGATATTCTACCTCATTTTTATTCTCCACCTGTTGAAAGACCGTCCCAGTTTCAGTCATTTCCATAGGTAGAAGTTTGAAGAGCCTGTACTGTACTTAAGGACTTTGGTATTTGGAAATGAGAGGTTAAGTTACAGGAAGAAAAGGGAGGAGTTCAAGGTCCCCTTCAGTCATAGTTTTAATGCCTGGGCATGGACAGGCCCATCCTACTCACCCTCCTCAACCCCCACATCACCATTGCTCTCCCTTCTGTGTGTTCCTTTTGTTTCAGGACACCCAGATGCTGAGGACATTGCATTATCTTCTGCCTTCTAATTCTGCCTGCCTAAGATTTCAGCTCACTGTGGTCTCAGTCCTGCCTTAGCCACCTCCTCCAGGGTATGTGTGCTGCTTTTCCCTTGAAAGGGCCCTGGGCAGGGAGGAGAATCCTTCAACTTTTCAAAACCAAAGTGTAAATAAACTAATTGAACTGAAGTTACAAAGTTGGCAGTTACTTGGGACGACAATTTGTATATAAGGAGCTGAAATCACAAACTTGAGGAGAACTGCTTGATGTTTGGTTGCACATCAGAACCCACACACAGAGCCTCTCAAACCATGTAGCTTTTGGCCACTGGAACCCCAACAAAGCTTTCCCTCTCTCCCACTGCAGAAAACAAACACTGAAGGATTAGTACAGAGAAATGATGGCACATGTGCTCATGCATTTTAAAAACAAATATTTTCAGTTGTCATGAATTGTTAAAGATGAGGTGTTTTTAACTCTTTGAAAATATTTAGCTTTGTGCTTTGGGGTTTTGCTTATATCAGAGGGTATTTTGCAAAAAAAATAATAATAGTAGACTAACTTAAAGTTTAGAATTATATCTTAAAATTGACAATTAATATATTTGGATTTTTTTCTGTGGTAGTGAAAGAAAAAAATGCACTTTGTTCTTTCACATTCGTGGAAATTTTTGAGAAGAATCAGCATGGGATTAAATAAAAGAAGCTCTCTAACGGCTCCTGAATTCCTGTTATATGTGCTCTATGAAAAGGTTTCTTGAGAGACTTTTATTTGCTGATTCTTTATCAATTTTATTTCTCTCTGTGTAATGTGGTACATTGTTGCTGTTATTATTGTTTATCTCCACATCACTACTGAAGGCAGCATTGTATTTTCCTTGGCTAGGTTTTCTTGTTCCCCTTTTAAATCTAATACGAGGAGCATCAAAGTTTAAATATTTGTGGTAGAGATCATTTTAAGAGGTACTCTCCTGCTCTTCCTAACCACTTCTAACAGAAGGTATTATAACAGAACACTAGGAGGAAGTTCAGAGAATGTTTGTCTTTTTTGGTGTTTTCATGCTGTTTTCTAGTTGATTTATCTCATTATTTAATGCCAAAATGTGAGACCTGATAAAATAATAATGCAAAATGCTGTATGCTTGCTTGGTTTTTATTGTGTCAATTTGTATTGAAAATACATAAAATATTTAAAAAATAATAATGCAAAAATTAATTAGGTCTGATGAACACTGGGGTGTTTGTCTTGACAGGCTTTGAATAACTGTGTTTTTGTTCTCAGGAGTGCATAACATTGATTTAGAAGAAATGGAGACATGGCTGGAGGAAGACTAAAATATCATCTGTTGCCACTGGCCCCCAAGTGCTTTAATTTTCTCCAAGAGCCCCACAGAGGCTTTATGGGTTGTCAAAAGGCACAGATTAATCAACTAACATTTATTGGTGGAAGTATTAAGGCAACTCCACGTAGTTAAAAGGGAGGTTTATTTTGTGGGGTAACTTACAAGTAAAGGGATAGGTTACAGGGTCCAGGAGAGGTGAAGTGCTGTCCAGTGGTGTTCTCTGGAGAACTCTGCTAGGTCTACCTCCAGCATCCAGGATCCAGGAACCAAGAGCACCGGCACATCAGGATCTCGGGTCTTAAGGGCTCCTCTCTCGGCCCCACCTCCTAGGCGTGACAGTTACCGGGAGCCTCAATGTGGGTAGTACTTCCAGGTCAAAGCTGGAACAGCTACCCACTACAAACATTTCCTGCAGGCAATTGACCAAGTGCTCTTTACCTGTGTATCCAATCCAACCTCCCACCTAGCTCTGCAGTTGGAACCTCACCTCGCCTTGAAGTGACAAGTTGACTCCCTCCATTTAAGAACAGAGCCTAGCCCAATTATGATTCTGACATGTGTCCTACTGGGCAGCAGGGCCTATGCTAAGTGTTTTATGAATGTTCCTTATGCTTCCCACACTAATTCCTTTAAATAGTACTGCTTGTTTAGAGATGATCAATCAAAGTGTATGGAGGTCCAGAGCCTTGTCCAGGACTGAGTGGGTAAAGTTGCTCACCACCAAGCCTGAGGACCTAAGTTCAATCCCTGAGATCCACATGGCAAAAGGAGAGACCTGACTCCTTCAAGTTATCCTCTGACCTCCACATGCATGCGGTTGCCCATGTGCCCCTATACCTCTAAAAATAAATTTGTGTGTCACTACCTCCCCTCCTCACAATTGTGTGCATACCCAGAGAGCTCAGGGGTACATGGCAGGCAGCTATAGAGACAGAGAGGAGGAGGGGGTCTCAGGCAGGCCAGGTGGACTAGCCGCAGGCCATCTTATACACTATAAAGATTTGTCACTCTTATTGGTTTAATAAAACACTGATTGGCCAGTAGCCAGGCAGCAACTGTAGGCAGGGTGACCAGACTAAGAGAAGGCTGGGAAGAGGAAAGGCAGAGATGGAATCACCAGCCAGATGCAGAGGAAGTAAGATAAGAATGTTGAACTGAGGAAAGGTACCAAGCCACATGGCTAAACATTGATAAGAATTATGGGTTAATTTAAGTGTAAGAGCTAGTTAGTTATAAGCCTAAGAAATAGACCAAACAGTTTATAATTAATATAAGCCTCTCTGTGTTTATTTGGGACTGAACAGCTATGGGACCAGGTGAGACAGAAACTTCTTTCTACATAAATTATTTATTTTTTAATTGTGAAAAGCAAACAAAACCTTGTTTGGTGTCTTAGTTAGGGTTTCTATTGCTGTAAAGAGAAACCATGACTACAGCAACTCTTACAAATAAAAAACATTTAATTGGGGCTGCTCACTTACAGTTCAGAACTTGAGTCCATTATTGCCATGGCAGAATATGGCAGCATGCAGGCAGACATGGTGCTGTAGCTGAGAGTCCTACATCTTGATAGGCATGCAACAGGAAGTGGTCTGAGGCACTGGACAGTATCTTAAGCATATATGAGACCTGAAAGCCCACCTCCAGAAAGATACACTTCCTCTAACAAGGCCACACCTCCTAATAGTGCTACTCCCTTTGGGGGTCATTTTCTTTCAAACCATCATATTGCCGTGCCATTTTTTTTCTTATGGAATAAAATGCCTTATTCTGTGCTATTCCATGTTGGAAATATGTGATGTAACTAATTTTTGTTGTTATTTTGTGGGTGCTCACAGCAGAGATTGCCTTGGGTCTTAGATGAGTTTTGAACTTGTTTTTTTTTCCTCCTGTAATTTTTTTTAATTATTAAATTTTTAAAATTTATTTTACATACCAACCACAGTTTCCCCTCCCTCCTCTCCTCCCATTCCTTCTGTCCACCTCCTTCCTACCCCTCCCATCCACTCCTCAGAAAGGGTAAGGCCTCCCATGGGAGTCAACAAAACATGGCATATCAAGTTGAGAAAGGACCAATCTTTCCCCTATCCCCTAACCCCCCCACCCCGAAATTGGGTTTTAAAAGATGTTGGAATTGTTAAAGCACATGAAGACTTCTGAAGTTCAGCTCAATGTTTATTTTTGTTTGTTTGTTTTGTTGTTTTGCATTATAAGATGGTCATTGGGTTATGGGAACAAAAAGTAAAAGATTATGGCTTAACAATGATTATGGCTTGAGTGTTACATTGAAAAGGGTATGTGTTTAATCTCAATTTTCAACTTCATAAGATCTAGTCACCTGAGAGACAGACCTTTAGGCTTGCCTATGGAGGATTGATTGCCTTGATTTTGCTAATTGGAGTGGGAAAACTTACCCATTTTGGGTGGCCCTACTCTTTGGTCTGTATAGAAAGGATCCTGAACTATAGAGAAAGGAGAAAGTGAATTTAGCACAAACACTCATTATTTCATGTTTCTTGACTTCCTGACTCTGGAATAGACAATAATACCTGCCTTAGGGTTTTTTTTCTTGCTATGAAGAGACACCATGTCCATGGCAACTCATATAAAAAAAACCAATTAATTGAGATGGCTCGCTTACAGTTTCAGAGGTTCAGTCCATTATCATCAGGATGGGGAGCATGGCAGCATGCAGGCAGATGTGGTGCTGGAGCTGAAAGTGCTACATGTTGACTCAGAGACAACAAGAAGTTGACCGACTGTCACACTGGGTGAAGCTTGAGTTAAGAGACCTCAAAGCTTGTCTCCACTGTGACACACTTCCTCCAACAAGGCCACACCTCCTAATAGTGCCACTCCCTTTGGGGGCCATTTTCTTTCAAACTACCACAATGGTCTATCAAAAATATGAAATATGTAAAGATAAATGTTACAAAATATTTAAAACTTGTATAATAAAAACCATAAACCATTGCTGAGACCAGTTGAAAATCGAAATAAATGCAGAGACAAGGTAAGCCTTTCAGGAATGATAAATATGATGGTTTAAATATAAATGGTTCCCACAAGCTCATAGGGAGTGGCACCATTAGGAGGTGTGGCCTTGTTGGAGTAGATATTGCCTTCTTGGAGGAAGTGTGTCACTAGGGGTGTGTTTTGAGATTTTAGATGCTCAAGTCAGGCCCAGTGTGACTCTTTTTTCCTGCTGTCTTCAAATCTGGATATAGAGCTCTCATCTACCTCTTCACCACCATGTCTACCTGCATGTTGCCATGCTTCCCACCATGATGATAGTGGACTAAACTTCTGAACTATGACCCTAATATTTCCATATAAGAGTTACCATAGTCATGGCATCTATTCACAGCAATAGAAACCCTAACTAAGACAGTAAGACTCTCTAGGAGTTCAAGCTGAAGTGTAAAACTCTTGATTAGCCAACTATACTTCATAAATTAAATCTGACCAGGCCTAATTTTATAAAGTTTTAGAAAAGTATGAGTATGTGTGTGTATATTTAGATACCAACTATGATCACTTTTTGTTTATGATGATGACTGACATAGGATCCAGTAGCTTGGAAAACATCAAATGTTTTCAGTTTTCACCTTTACTGAAATTCAGCTGGTTCCTGCTTAATTTTGCTAGACTGTCAAGTCGCTCCAAAGTGTTCTATCAACTTAATATTGTAAACACGATCCTAACATTTTTTTTTTTTTTACAGAAATCTACAAACTCATTTCTAAAGTCTCTATAGACATGCAAAGGACTAACATCCAGAATAGGATTAATAGAAAAGAAACAAATTTTCAGATTTGAAGTGCTAACACTTTCTGATTTCAAGACATAATATAAATTTACAGTAATGAGCACATATGTTTATTATCCATACCAAGACAATTAAACATATCAATGAAAGAGAGTCAATAAATAGATACACATTAATTTTTCACAAAGGTAGGACAGTCAACAAATGGTGCTGGAACAATTGCCTATCAGTATCCAATACAAACCAGTAAACAAAATGAAAACAAAAAGTTCATTGCCCCATACACAAACGTTAACTCGAGAGGTTGTAAATGGATGTTTCCTGTCCTGACTACCAGGTCCCAAATAACTGACTCATAGGCTGAACATGAATTACAAATTCTTGGTTCATAGCTCAGGCTTGTTATTAGCTAACTCATACATTTAAATTAACCTATATTTCTATTTATGTTTTGCCATGTGTCAGTACCTTTATTAGCTTGGCATGTTCATCTCCTGTTTTCTCTGCTTCTGGCTGGTAACTCCTGACTCTGCCCTTCTCCTTCCCATCATCTTTAGTTTGGCTGTCCCACCTATACTTCCTGCCTGGCTACTGGTCAGTCAATGTTTTATTATTAATTCAAGTGACAAATCTTTACAGTGTACAAGAGTATTATTCTACAGCAAGAAGTCATGAATCAAAATATGAAATCTAAATCTCTACAACTTCTTGCAGAATAGTCAAGAAAAAAATATTATTTTGAGTTAGGAAAAGGTTTCTTAGACATGACTCCAAAAGTATGATCCATAAAAAGACAAAGCAGTAACACTCATTGAACTTAAAACTTTAGCTCTTCAAACATTAAGAAAATGAAAAGACAAGCACAAATTGGGACATATTTCCAAAGCTTGAATTTCCTAAAATCTTTTATATCTGAAGTAGGTAATGATATTCAAAACTATGAAGAAAGTATTTGGTTCATTAAAACTTGGGTAAAGCACCCACAGACCCTTCACAAAATAAGATATATGGAAAGCAAGTAAACCTGAGAGAGACTGAACTGACATCTTTTTTTTCCCCCTAGGGAAAAGTAAACTAAAAGCATGAGTTAGCCATAGCCACCTCTTAGAATGACAAAATTTGAAGAAACCACACCAAGTGCAGTGAGGATGTAGAATAGAAAGTTGTACATTGCTGTTTAGAATATAAAATGGTTATATTGGCAGTTTCTAAAAACATATATACTTTTCATATGATCTAGGTATTCACCTTCTATATATTCATCTAAGAAAACGATGCCGTGCAAAGACTTGAATATAAATGTTCACATCAGCATTATTTGTAATAAAACCTTTGTTTGGTTTGAATTTGAAATGTCCATGACAAGGTCATGTTTTAAAATGTTCACTCCCAGCTGGTGGTGCTATGATGAGAGGCTGTGGAACCTTTAGGAGGAATGACTAAGCTGGCAAGGGTAAACCACAAAGGACACCTTTTGAAGGTAATAGTTAGACCCTCCAAGTCTCACTGCTTTCTGCTTTGACATGTTGAGAAGAGCCTCTGACACATGCAAAGGATTATCTTGTCTGTCCCTTGTTGATCTACATTCCTTAGTCCCGATGTTTACCTTTACCACACCTCCTGCATAATCCAGAAGGGAGGGGCATTCTCTTGCCATTTTTCCTTGAATAAACAAACATTGTTTCTAGGAACGCCCAGTTTACACTCTCTTTTCAGATGACCTTGTTTACTGCAATTAAAACATCTGACATTATTTTTCCTCAAAGTTTTTGATATCACCTTTCCTATCCACATATCATCATGGTCATGAGACTCAATGTTAATTGTGTCCCTGATCCAATCCTCCAGGGGTGTTGATCTTGCCTTTAACAGTCTGACTATTCTTTTGCATGATGCGTTTGCATTCTCAAAAGCCAAAGATTCAATTATTATCTGTCTAGCTTCTGAAATTGCTATAATTCTATTTACTGCTGAAGACAGCCTTTGTAAGAAATCTGTGAAGGATTCTCTGGGGTCTTTGATGTAGTTGAAGACTAGATTGTTATAATTATAATTTTCCTTGGTTATGATAAAAGATAAGTTAGATATGAAACCTTAGACTCACAAATATAAGATAGATAGAATATTTAATTTTGCCAAATACAGATAGACTACATATTGTAACTGTAATTCTTTCATGATAACTGTTCTATTACATTAATTTTACTATGTTAAAGTTAAACACTTCCATTTTGATTAGACAGAAAAGGGGAAGTGCTGTGGAATGTCGTTCTGTAGGTTGTGAATATGTGTTTCTCTGATTGGTTGATAAATAAAACACTGATTGGCCAGTAGCCAGGCAGGAAGTATAGGCAGGATAAGCAGACAAGGAGAATTCTGGGAAGAGGAAGGTTAAGAAAAGGAGTCACCAGCCACTGCCAGGAGAAGCAAGATATAAAAGTACCAGTAAGCCATGGCCATTTGGCAAATTATAGATTAATAGAAATGGGTTAAGTTGTAGGAGCTAGTTAGTGAGAAGCCTGAACCATTAGGCCATACAGTTTGAAAGTAATATAATCCTCTGTGTGTTTACTTGGGATCAAACGGCTGCAGGACACATGAGGGAGAGATTTGTCTGGACTGCAGGGCCGGGCAGGACTGGCGAAAACTTCTAACTACACCCTAGTGCCATGGACTGAGCTGCTCAGCTATGCCCTCTCTGTCACAACAGACTAAAGTTCTCTGAAACCAGAAACCAAACAAACATTTCCTTCTTCAGTGTTTTTGTTCAATATTTTAGTCACGGTGAAGCAAAATTACTCATATACTTGGAAAAATTCCCAAAGCTCTTCAGCAAATGAATAGGCAGGCAAGTTGTGGTAGTCCCCAGTAGTCAACATGCAGGGCTGGTTCCAGAATCCTTCAAAGATACTCAACTCTGAAGATGTCTCTGTACTTACATAACATGGTATGGTGTTTGCACATAACCTATGCATATCCTAGAGCACACTTTAAATCACCTTTAAATTACTTATAATATCTAATACAATATAAATGCTATGTATATAGTTTTAATATTTTATTGTTCTGGGAATAATGACAAGAAAAATTCTGTCATATCCAGTAAAGACAATCGTTTTTAAATATTTTTGATCTTCAGTTGGTTGACTCTGATGCAATGCAAGTGCATAGTAAGAGCCAATAGAACATTTACATAATAGACTTGTATTCAACAAAGACTGGAAATAAGCTGCTCAGATACACCAAACATTTGATGAGTTTCACAATGAATGAAAGAAGCTAAACAATAATAGAAATAAACCAAGTGTTTATGAATCCATGAAGTGAACATCTACTACTTGATTCTACTTTTTTTTTTTACTTTTGAAAACACAAGCTATGCTCACTTCAGCAGCACATACACTAAAATTAGAGCCACACAGAGATTGGTATGGCCCCTGCACAAGGATAGCATGCAAATTAATGAATTGTTCTGTAGTTTTATAAAAAGAAATTGT